CTCTCCCCAGAACATCCCCGAATGAGGAGGGATTGGCAGAAGAGGGGGTATGACAATCAAACGAACAAGCAACGAATACGAATCTTAACGCGAGGAAGCAACACACAATAACATACCTAATATACTTAGGGACATGTAAGGAAAATGGTAACCACAATAAACAAAGAACGAACACGAGAAACACACATCATAGGCATCATAGTGATCACAAATACATGGCGAGAAAACGAATAGGCCCGCGGGGTCTCTTGGAATTGCGAGCAAGCGAGGGAACAAACACACAACCACACAGAAGCAGAGCGGTCTTCCCCCACATCGAATTTCTGCGAAGTGGTGGTAGAGCCTCGAATGATCTGCGGTGATGGGTGAACGCGACAACATCCTCGTCTGTGTCCACGTCCCTTTCCTTTCCCCCCGCTCCTCCTGCGAAATGCTCTTCGTCATCGTCCATTTGCTTCTCCTTCCCGCGTCGCTTTCTTTACCGTCGTCCTCATTGTCGTTCTCTTCCCCCTCCCCCATATCATGCGCGATAGAGCAGGAGGGGCATGTGGGGGGAGAGAACAAAAGAGAAGAAACATGAGGCGGCCGACGCCATCTGGGCCTCCGGGCCGAAACCTAGCACCCACACGACGGAGAGATAAGGATGGATGAGGATGAGGGTGAATCTGAGGATGGGGATGAGGAGGACAAAAAGGAAGAGGAGAAGGAGGAGGAGGAGGAGGACCGACCGTGGCATCGACGACGATGTTAGGCTCCGGCCGCGGCCGCGGCGGGGTGATCCCAGGGCATGGGCCAATCCTTAACTTGTCGTGTTCGGCGGTCGAGCCGATCCTCTTCATCTCGAGGTAGTGGTAGTGGGCGAGGACTATGGAGCGGTCAGCCGCGACCATCGAACGCTCGGTGCCCTCCCCCGTGTAGCTCTTGGCGGGGCCCAAGGCGAGCCGCTCAAACACGGTGCCGTGGATGTGCTGGCGCGGCTGGGCAAGTCACTGCAGGGGCCTCGGGCGATGCAAGTAGTGGTGGATCTCGCCCTGGGCATCCGAGCGGCCCCACGGACAAGGGACGCGAACAAAAAGGAACCTCATGCGGCAGTTCGCGTGCCATCCTCCTGCGAGGATGCGAATCGTGGCCTAGCGCCACGCCGGGAACACTTGTACGAGTACCAACTTCAAATATTGCCACCTCTGGAGTGGATCTGCAAGTGCTGCAGTAGCCCCGAGCCATGCCGTTCGCCGCTTCTTGATGTTGACGTCAAATCTGTCGGGGGACCATCTGGTTTGCAGGGTGCGCGTGAAGGTCCTTTGAGGGTGTGGGCGCCGACCATCCTCGAGCGACGTTGTTACCTCGCGCAAAGCAATGCCAACGCGCACCTCAAAATAACTGTGCAGTCGGGCAGGAGTGTCGATCGGCTGGGGGTTGATCACCAGGAAGCGGCGCTGAACGATAAACTCCTCAGTGCACCAAAACTGCGGGCTCCGCTCGTTCGCAACGGATGCGGGCAAATGCTCTCTGTGGCCTGCTCCTCGAGCCTCTTGGAAGTGCCGTGCCAGGCCAGGATCGTGAACTTGGCCAGTCCCCATCTAGATCGAGCCCGCCGCCGTAGCGCGCGTCGGCTGGAACCAGGCGTCCAAGAAGAAGAAATCCGAGTGCTTGAACGACGATGGCGGTAAGCGAACTACTGCGCGAAAGGCATGGGAACCCTTCGTGGCGGACTTCTTGGGAAGCGGGTGCAAAAGGCGCGAGGTAGGACGGCGCCGGGAAGCAGCGGCTGCCGTGGGGTCGCGCGATTACGTCGACAAGGGCGGACGATGGACATTTCAGCACCACTCGGTGCCACAACTTTTCCGCCGCTTCAATCCATTGAGCTTCGGGATCTGCTTCTGGGCACAATTCAAACCCTGCGTGCTTGCGGGCGCCCTTGATTGGCGCGCCCTCCCATTGCAGCACTGCGACGGACATGAATGACTCGACCTCGTTGAACAGCCGCTCGTCGAGGGCCTGCCACACAAGGATGGGGGCGCTCTTCTTCGGCTGCAGTTAGAGCTTGCCCAGCTCGTGTGCTTGGTCGTAGACGGTGGCATTTTTGGCAAGGTTTGGAACTTGCGATTGGCCGCGCCCGCGCCATCGGCGCAGGCGCGAACAGTTCCTTAAACCTGGGCGGGGAAAGTCACGGCGATGGCGCGCAGGACGGGGTCCATCACCGCGGCCCGCGCCGGGCCCGAGAGAGGACATCCCTGGGCCACGCCGCCGGCGAAGCCGCAGGGGTGGTTGCGGGCGCCCCTCGGCAAGGCCATTCCCCCGGCCCTGTCGCAGAGGCCGCGGGCCGCGTCGATGAAGCCACGGGGAACCCGAAGCGCTTGAGGGCTCCGAACAGCCGCTGTCTGCCCAGGGAGGGGAAGGCAGCCGCGATGTCGCAGAGGAGGGCCATCGGCTCGGCGCTCTGCGCATCCACCTGGAAGCCGGCCCATAGGGATTCGCCGTCGAGCTGGGCGATGAAATGGCAGAAATTCCAGCCCCAGGTGAAGCCTTGTTGACGCGCGTGGGCATGTGAGTTGACCTGCTTGGCCACCTGGTGATTGATCGCGGGCGAGATGGTTTTGGCACCAGTGTTTGCGCGCGCGATGGGGCAGGGGGCGCCCGCCCCCCGAACGCAGAACACCAGGTCGTCGGGCTCCGGCCACTTCGGGGTGATGATGCGGGAGAGCGATCGGTCGTGGCCAGATTCGAAGACGTCCCAGGCGACGCCCTCGAGCAGGTCGAAGCTGTCCTCGACGCCCGACCAGGCGTTGCACGGGAACTGATCAGGGCCGGGTGCCGAGTTGTGGGCGCCGCTGGCTGCGCGCATCGTCGAGGCAGCGGCGGGCAGTCGTGGGCGTGCCTCGGGGGTGTCCGAGTGGGCGCGGGCGTCGAGGAACTGGTCGAGCTTGGCTTGGCTGACGAGCCTGGCCGCGAAGATCGGCTTCCGATGGTCCGCCAGCGCTCAGCATGCCTTCGGGGCCCTTGGCGAATGATTCGCCCTGCGCGATCTTGGTGCGCGTGAGCTGACGGCGCGTGGCGAAGGGGGCCTATGGGCAGCACTGACGCTGGAGCATTCGCTGCTGCTTCGTGATGTGCTCGAGGTCGTGCGTTCTCTGCAGGCGTGCTGCGCTGGCGGCTTGAGCTTCCGCCTCCTTTCGAGGACATGTGGCATGTGGGCGGTGGGTATAGATGCTGCTGCAGCGGCGAAGCGCGTTTCATTGTTCAGCGCGACGCAGCCGACTTCCATGCTCAGGCGTTCCTTGCCCAGCTCGATTGCTGGATGAGGCCGGCCGCGGAGTCTGGAGTCGCGGCGCCGCGCCGCTCGGGGAATGGAGCGATGGTGATGGCGCGTGCCGCAATGACGGGATGCTGCCTAGACGCTCTAGGCGTTGCAGGAAGGAGGTCCCCGGCGAGCATCGCCGCGTTTGTCGCGTTGGTCTTCGCGGTCCGAAGGCGCTGGGCATGGGGGCGGCCTTGCAAGTTGGAGAAGGGTTGCATCGCGTCACTGCGACGTTCGAACTGCGGCGCATTGACAGGAGGAAGTCAGGGATGCGCCGGGGCTCGTCCAGCGACGGTTCCGCCGCCGCCGCCCGTGGCGACGGGGTGGAGCGGTCGCTCGTGCGAGCCTCGCTCAAGACAGACGCTCCTTGATCCGCGTGTAGAAGCGCGGACAAGCTCGGCGTGGCAGGAGCAGGGGGACTGGCGGATGCTCGGTCGATCTTCGCGGCCATCAACGCGCGGCTGTCGAGCCTCGTCGCGGCCATTCTTGATCTCCACCGCGCTGCCAAACAGACGCTTCCAGAATGGCGGTTGGCGTGGATCGCCCGGCGGAGCAGCGCGGTTCAAGCCGCGTGGAGGGGCCGACGGGGAGGGCGCGCATGCCGACGGTGTACTGAGGGGCGATGGGGGCTCGTCGCGCGCGTTGAAGTCGCCTGGCGCCTCGAAGAATTAATTCATCGCAGGGGGGCGGCCGCGGGCCATTGCTCATGGCGGGGCCATTCGAGCTGAAGAACGGCGCGGCGTCGAGGCTCGAGGACGCAGTTCTGGGAATTTGCGACGGCGAGGCGGCGCTCCTCGCCGCTGAACATCTCCATGGTATTGGCGCGGCCGTTGATGACGCCGCGCTGGCGGGAGATGGCGACGCCGGTAACTTCGTCTACCCTCGCGAGGTTGCGAGGAAGCAGAGGGGGCAGCTGCCGGCGGGCGGCGGTCGCGCTGACGCCCCCGATGCACGGGGCAATGATGTGCCAGGGGGGCTTGGTGATGACGAAGAGGTCGAAGTGGGGGAGACGTCCGACTCGACCTCCGAACCAAAGCAGCCGGGTTTGCTACCTTGGACTCGGCAATGTCGCCCACAACGTGGATCGCAGGGCGGTCGGGGGCCAGGGCAGCTACGCCGCCTTCCCCCGTGTTGTCGAGGCCGCTGACGACAGCGAGGTATGGGTGTGGGAGGGGGTGTAGAAGGCGACGAAGCCGCGATGCTTGTGGAGAACGAGTGGAGCGGGGCGGCGATGCGATCCTCGTCGAGCCCATGGCGGGCGGCGAGCTGCTCGTTGAATGCCAGATTCGTTTTGGCGTCGATGCTTTCGCCGATCTCCAGCTCGCGACCAGCGGTGCGCCATCCAAGGCGACGCAGCTTCCGGGTTTGCGCGCCTGGAAATGCATGTCGGGATGCCAGTCGCAACGGGTGCGGTGTATACGCCTCGTCTGAATCTCTCTGCTGATATGTTTGGGGCTGCGGTCAGCGCGAACGAAAAGAGGCGCTCTCTGTCCCGCAACAACTGCCATCTCGCCGTGAGAACCTCAGAGACTTCAGGAGGTCTGTCGATATCAGAGTCGTTGCGCTCTGGGCAACCGGGCTCATGCCCAGCGGGGGCCACGGGGCTGCGGTGTCGTGGGCCTTCGTCGTCTGGGGGCTCTGACTGCGGAGCAGATGGGTGAAGAAGGTCGCCTTCAGGTCGCTCCGTATTCAAGTAGCCATATGGACATCATCTACGACCCACTTGTAGACGTCACAGTGCTGCTGATGGCTCTGGGACAAGGGGGTTGTCGATTCTGATTTGAGTAAGGCCTGGGTCCAGGCCAGCGAGTTGCCCTCAAACAACTTCAAATGGAGCCTTGTCCGTAGGCCATTAGGCGCGTTTTTTTCTTCGCTCGCTGCGTGTTGGCTGGCAGCTTGTATGACCTCATCTGATTCAGACGGATCAGGAGAATGCTGAATTCGCGCCTCTCCCTACGCCATCAAGTTGCAGCAGATGGTGGGCGGGGAATCACGAGAGCTGCGACGCAAACGGTTTTGACATCATTGTCTCAAGCGCGCGGGTTCCATAATGTTTGGGGTCGGGCGTTCATGCTGGGGGGGACTTCGGTGCGATATCCATTGCGCAAAGGGGCCCTTGGAGCTTTGCTGGCTGGCGGTCTCTGGCTGCCTGCCAGAAAACACGAACGCGGCTATTTGGAAAACGGTCTTTGCCGTTATTGCAAGCAGGGGAAAAGGCACCTTTGGGCATGATTTTGCGTGTGCGAGGGCGTGTGGCAGCAGGGGGGGGGGGTCCCAATTCGACCTGGGTCGCTGCTCTCAGCGCGCCGGCCTAGGCCGTCCAGAGTCTACGCCTTCAACGGCCCACTGATGGCGGACAATGCTAAATCGCACGCGGCCGCCAGAACTACCCCCAACATGACGCGTGCGCGCCTGCCTGCGTTCGTTCCCATGGAGACGCTATCCCGCCCACTGGCGGCCGAGGCATGCGTCCTACACGAGCCCCGCGTCCACGCGCGCGGGGCCAATCAGCCGCCCCGGGCCAGCTCGGGGGGCAGCGCGCCGCGGCCGGCCGGCGCGCGGCCGCAGGGCCGCAGCCCATGGGGCCTCCTTGCGCCAGACCCCCCACCCGCCAGGTCCCGATGCGACGCCCCCGCTCCATCACAGCGATTTAGAGCGCCGCCAGAGACTGAAGGATTCGGCTAGAGGGCCCCCGTCCGATTTTGACAGGTTCGGGCTGGTATACAGGGAGCCAGAGTTCCCATCGAGCCTCAGCGCAGTCCCCATGGCGCTGCCTGTGCTCTCTTGAAGTTCCACTCATCTTCCCTGGGGAAGGCGCCTTGTAACGGAAGGATCTTACCAGGCGAACGGGATCCCTGAGCTCGCCAGGCGCGGCTGGTCGTGGAACTTTCGGCCCCAGGTTGACCTATTCGGGCCCAGCTTGGTGGTTTGAACGGAAGGTGCCAGACTTTACCGAGGGCCGACTGCCAGACCATCCTCCAAGTACTCCTGGTGGCCCCCTGGGGGCGGATACTGATTCGGATCATCTCTCAGCCGTTCGAGAAGGGAACGGATGGATTTACGAGCTTGCGCTAGGTAGCAGCAAGCACGCTACTGTGTGGAGGCAGGCTTGCCAACTCTATGAGGACCGCCCTCAGCGTCCCAATCTTCGGTGGACGCCCGCTCATGACGAACTCGACTCGTTGCTGCAAACACAAGTACGCCCTGGAGGTTCTGAAATTTCGAAAGTTCTAGCTTTTCCGAGACCGCTTGGGTGGTCTGTTTCAATACGGTGGGAACGGGTTTGGTCCACCACCGGGACGCGACCGTGACCATCGTGCGGGAACAGTTGAAAGACGTTTATTGTAATGTGATTTTCTGGTATGTCGCAGGCGGCCCAGTTGGTGGCCAACACGTCGGTCCAAGAGCTCCGGGCCGCCTGCAAGGCCGACCTTCCCGACGGCCCAAGTCGATTTGCTTTCGCGCGACCTGGTGGAGGTCCCAGGAGTCCGTGCGTTGCACGTGGTGCCACTGCTCGGCTCGGTCAAGACGGCTTTGTCCAGACTGAAGCTGGAGCAGCCTGGCGCGCGTTGCGAGCCCTCACCCCTCAACTTGTTTTTTGGCGGCAGTGCGTGCGGAGAGGCATGGAGGCGTCTTACGCAGGGCGCGTAGCAATGCAGTTCGCAATGTCATGACCGCTTTGGGCTTCAACGCAACTGCGGCGTCGCCCACTCGTGCGCCTGAGGTTTTAGAGCACCTCGGGCATCTTGTGCAAGTTGCTGGCCAATACGCCCTCTGCAAGAGGTGTGGAGCCCATGCGAGGGTGGAGGCCCCTAGCTGGCGCACTCTGCTGACGCCCTGCCAGGGCGAGCCGTCTGCTGGACAGCGCTGGTTCCGCGAGGAGGTCCTGGCTGGGCGCGAGCCTCGATGATGGGTGGGCAGGGGGCGCTGGTGATCCTGCGGATTATCGGCATCCCCCGCCCGCCTGTTTGCGGGGCTCGGCCCGTGAGGGAAAAGCTTGGTGCAGTCGCCGCGCACCTCCTGCTACATGTTCGGGACTTCTTGATCTCGCTGCTCCTCCTCCTCCTCCTCCTCCTCCTCCTCCTCCTCCTCCTCCTCCTCCTCCTCCTCCTCCTCCTCCTCCTCCTCCTCTCCTGAGACGCGTGCCTCCTTTGCCGTTCCTGCCACCGCCTGACTCAGACGGTGCAGCCTGGCCCTGCCTCCTGCCTCCTCCTCCCGCTGTTGCTCCCCTGTCCTCCTCTCTCCTCTCTTCCTCGCCCTCTTCCTTCGACGCCGATGCGACGACGACTCCGGCGACGATGCCGCCGCCGACGACCCCGCCAACAGCGACACGGACGACGACGCCGACGCTGACGACGACTCCGACGACGACGACGCTGATGACGGCTGCGGGCCAACGCCTTCCCGATGGCGGGAGTGCACCCGCGCGGGGGATTCCCTCAGTGCACCCTCGCCAGCGCGGTGCGGACGCCCTGGCGCGGTGCGGGGGGGGGGAGATCCCACTCGATTGTCGGTACTCCGCCTGGTTTTTCCAGGAGGAGGGTCGAGAGGAGGACCGAAGGTCGGCAAGAAAAACTTGCGAGGGAGGCCCACCGGAGGCCCCAGTGGCTCAGTTCGAGTGCGGTCCCCCAGCCGTTGTCGGACCGCCACTGGCACCTTTCGGGATCCCGCTGGGAGTTCCACCGAAGGCCCCAGTGGCACAGGTCACATGTGCCCCATCCCGCCCCCCGCCCATTTCGGCACACCCCTCACACGTTGCGTGGCCCTGCCGCCGCCGTCCCCAACGCTGGCGTAATCGTTGTCGGCGCTTTCGTCGTGCTATCAGGGCCCGTCCAAAATCGATCCCCAAACCTCTTTTCAGATCCCCGACGTCATCGCGATGAAGGAGGCGAGCCGCTTGCTTGGGCACCTCAACGGGGAGCCGCAAGCGGGTACCACGTGACCGTTCGCCCAGATCGTTGGGATGGCTCGAGCGGCTCGCATGTTCTAGGCAGGCTGAGGCGACTTTTTTCAGAGAGCCCCAACCAAGACTATCTCGATACAGCACTCCATAAGGAAGCAGCCAGGAAGTGCTCAGTTCCCACAGGCTACGACTCACACTTAGATGGAGGCACCGCCCAGCACCTGAGGCCTGGATCGCACGCTGGACACGGCGAAAAACCGCCCCACAATACCAGGCTGGTACTGCCCCCTCCCGCGACACTAACGTCGGCAGCTCGCGCGACTTACACGGTCGAAGAAACAGGGGGATTCATGGATACGGATAGATGTTAATCGGATGAAGGCGCACGAGTTTTGCACTTCCTTCACACCAGGTCCAACACGCTAGTTTTGCTGTCTCGGTGTATGCCCCCCCACACACACACTCTGTGTACAACCTGTGATATACATGCACATATTTGTTTGGAAACCTCTCTATGTCAAATATGGATATATATATATATATATATATATATATATATATATATGCTAGAACCGAGCGCGCGCTTCGCGAGCGCGTAGGTTCTAGGGAGCTCCAGCCCTTGATAAACTAATAGCTCCACCTAGCACTTACTCACGAATGGCTTGAACATGTGTTGAAACAGTGTCAGCAACGTGGACCGAGCAAATACAAATTACTGGCAGGGGCGCTTCCACACGATTCATTGCGAAGGGATGCGAAGCTGTGAAAACAATGCAATCCGTTCAAAGGAGACGTAATGCAACACATTGCCACAGAAGCCGGTTGCGTTGGCAACGCAACGCAAAGTCTTGTAAGCAGAAGCGAGCAAATCATATAAGAAAGGCGACGGGGTGGAGTACAAGCCAAGGCAACGCAAAGCGATGTGAACCAACGCAATGTGAATCACAAAACAGTACACCTGCACATGCGACGCAAAGCAACACAGCGCAATACAACGCAAGGGTGAAGTAGTAACCATGGAGGGAGAACTCTTTTTGCACCAGGATGCCCATCTGCATGCCGGCCATTCGTGTATAAGACGCGTCTCAAGTACAACCACTTGCGCGGTCTCGGCTCGATCAGAATCACTGGCATCACGTGGTACCTGGCCTGCTAGAAAGATGGTTCATGATTCGCACTGCCACTGCAAATTCCCCTTTTCACAAGACAGCGCTAAGCAAGCCTGATGCCTGCTGCTCCTCTCAAAGACACTCCGGTGTCCCCGAGCGTCAAGCCACGAGCATTTCCAACCCGACCACCGCGGCACAATGGCCCACGCCACGTGGCCGACCAGCGATGAAGAAACGAGGTCAAGCGCAGCGGCACCGCACATGCACAGGAAGTGGACGGAAACTGCCCTGCGAAAGTGGCCGAAATTACGGCAACAAGTGCCAGGAGAAACAGGGAAGGAGGACAAAAATAAAGACGACTGCACCAACGGAGCCAACACGCAAACCTAATTTTTTAAAGTGTCTGGATTGCCCCCTTCTTTGCCACCAGAGCTCTACACGATATGAACTCACCCCAGATCGTATCGGTGAAACGGGGGCGGGAAGGAGGGTGGGGAAGGGGAAAACAGGAGCGAAGTAGACAGATAACAGTACAATATCATGCACGGCGGCATGACAAATTGAAGTCATGGAAATTCGAATGTAGAATATAATTGAAGCGAAGAGGCTGTATGAGGAGAGCCGGCCTCCAGGAGGAAGAAGGAGGGCGACCCCACCGGGGGGAGCCAAGCCCCGCATGCAAGCCTGGGCCAAGCTGCAGCGCCGCCCTGGTAATGGGAGCATCGCAGCATCAAAAAGCATATGATGCAAAGGAGAAGGGGAGAAAGAGGGACGCAGAGAGAGAGGGGGGGAAAAACGTAGTTGCACTTCTGGCAACACCGGCTCTGCTAGTGGGATATTCCGCGCGTTCGTTTGCCTGTTAAGCAGATATTTGCAGCGACGCAGCTGTCGTTGCAGCTGGACCCCGCATAAACAATTAGGCCGCGGTGCGCATGGCTGGAGGTCACTCCGCTTCCTGTTCGATCGGCATGCTGATCTGCGGTGCGGGACGTCGGTCTGCTGCCTCAGCGGCGGCACGTCTGGCAGGAAGCGAAAGATGCTGCCGCCGCTCGCCATCCCCCTTTATCTGGTCGGAGCGGGAGTCGGGATCCGCTTGGTCCCGACCTCCCGGGCACGGGGTCGGTGAGCTGGTCGATGCGGGAGTCGATGTGCTGGTCGGAGCGGGAGTCGGGGGCCGCTTGGTCCAGACTCCCCTGGGACGGGGTCGGTGAGCTGGTCGATGCTGGAATCGATGTGCTGGTCTGAACGGGAGTCGGGAGCCGCTTGGGCCAGACCTCCCGAGGACGGGGTCGGTGAGCCGGTCGATGCGGGAGTCGATGTGCTGGTCGGAGCGGGAGTCGGGAGCCGATTGGTCCAGACCTCCCAGGGACGGGGTCGGTGAGCTGGTCGATGCGGGAGTCGATGTGCTGGTCGGAGCGGGAGTCGGGAGCCGCTTGGTCCAGACCTCCAGGGGACGGGGTCTGTGAGCCGGTCGATGCGGGAGTCGATGTGCTGGTCTGAGCGGGAGTCCAGAGCCGCTTGGTCCAAACCTCCCAAGGACGGGGTCGATGCTTGATGTGGTGAGGGGGGGCAAGGTTTGTCCGCCCACTGTCGCATCAGCTACCGCGAGGATGCATCAGCTTCTGATGTCTGTTGGTTGGTGCAGATTAATTGGTTGATGTCGTTTTGCTGGTTGTTGCCGTTTTGATGCTTCGCCGGCGTCGGTGTCTGGGTCAGCAACAACGTTGGTGGTGTCGGCGACGGTGTTGGCTACGGTGCTGGCGTAGGCGTCAGCGTCGGTGCTGGGGTCTGCGCCGACGTTGGTGTCAGGCGCCGGCGTCGTTGCTCAGGGACGGTGTCGACGTCGGCGTCGGTGCTGACGACGTTGCTGGCGTAGGCGCCGGTGTCGATGCCGAGGCCGGTGTCGACGTCGGTGCATGCGACTGTGTTCGCGTAGGCGCCGGCGTCGGTGCCGGCGTAAGCGCCGACGTCGGTGGCGGCGTCGGTGCTGGCGTCCGTGCTGGCATCGGCGCCGGCGTCAGCGCTGAGGTCGGCGCCGAACGTTGGTGTCGGCGTTGGTTCGTGTGGTTGCTGCCCCGCGCGGTCGGGTTGGAGCTGGTGCTGTTGTCGCACCTGGGGTCGGCGCAGACCGAACCCGTGTGAACAAATTGCCCCCCCCCTATCGTGTCAGAGAGGCTCGACCAAACCGTGTATATGCCTTGGGATGACCACTGCCTCGGAGTCGACGTTCTATACTTGCTGCCCCGCGCTGTCGGGTTGGCGCTGGTGTGGGCGTCGCACCCCGGGTCCGCGCAGGCCAAACCTGCGTTAACAAAATTGCCCCCCTTATGCCAAAGAGGCCCGACCAAACCGCATGTATGCCTTGTTGCGACCATTGCTTCGGAGTCGAAGCTGTGTAGTCGCTTCCCCGCGCGGTCGGGGCAAACCTGGGAATGCATGCGTTGGTGCTGGCGGTAGTGCTGGCATAGGCTCCGGTGACGGTGCCGGGGTCGGTGCCGACGTCGGTATCGGCGTCGGTGCTGTGGTCGGCGCCGACGTTGGTGTCGGCGTTGGCTCGTGTGGTTGTTCCCCCGCGCGGTCGGGTTGGAGCTGGTGCTGTTGTCGCACCTGGGGTCGGCGCAGACCGAACCCGTGTGAACAAATTGCCCCCCCTATCGTGTCAGAGAGGCTCGACCAAACCGTGTGTATGCCTTGGGGTGACCATTGCCTCGGAGTCGACGTTCTATACTTGCTGCCCCGCACTGTCGGGTTGGCGCTGGCGTGAGTGTCGCACCCCGGGTCCGCGCAGGCCAAACCTGCGTTAACAAAATTACCCCCCTTGTGCCAAAGAGGCCCGACCAAACCGCATGTATGCCTGGAGGCGACCACCGCTTCGGAGTCGAAACTGTGCAGTCGCTTGCCCGCGCGGTCGGGGCAAACCTGGGAATGCATGCGTTGGTGCTGGCGGTAGTGCTGGCATAGGCTCCGGTGACGGTGCCGGGGTCGGCGCCGACGTCGGTATCGGCGTCGGTGCTGGTGATGGTGCTGTCGTTGGCCCTGGCGTCGGCGTTGATGTCGATGTCGGCGTCGGAGTCAGTGCTGACGACGATGTTGGCGTAGGCGTCGGCGTCGGTGCCGGGGTCCGCGCTGACGCCGGTGTCAGCGTCAGTGCTGGCGACGGTACTGGCGTAGGCGCCGGCGTCGGTGTTGGGGTCGGCGCCGACGTTGGGGACGGCGTTGGTGCTGGCGACGGTGTTGGCGTAGGCGCTGTCGTCGGTGTCGGCGTCGTACCTGGCGTTGGTGCCGGCAACGGTGCTGGAGTAGGCGTCGGCGTCGGTGTTGGGGTCGGTGCTGACGGCAGCGTAGGCGTCGATGCTGGACACGATGCTGCCGTAGGCGCCGGCGTTGGTGCCGTTGTGAGCCGCCGTTGGTGTCGGCGTCGGTGCTGGCGACGGTGTTGGCGTGGGCGACTGCGTCAGTG